CGTCAGACCAGCTCCACCAATCAGCAACCAGAGTCCACTGTCCTCATTTTAGGGAAGAAAGGTCTTCTTGGAAGAGTTGTTATAAAATACAACTTGTTTCTCGTAATTTTAGGACTTTATTCTCGTCAATTTCTGACTATTCTCTTTGTGACTTTTTTCTCGTAATATTAAAACTTTATTCTCATAACGTTACGACTTTATTCTCGAAATAGAAGGAAAAAAATCTCCAGCCTGGCCCTAATACTCTGTCATATCGGACAGCTAAAGCTTCCTTAAAGATTTTTTACGAAAATTCAAGCAGGCGAAGCCAAAACTTTTCCACTTGAGGAAGTTCTGGATAGAGCAGATTGACAGATAAAAAAATTTTTTTTTTTTTAAAGCTTAAATGTAAAATATTAATATATTCTTTTGTCAATTTTCATATAGTTTCTGCTCTAAATGAGTCGCTCTGTAAGATAAAGACATATTTAACAGTCTATATATTCCAATTAACAATTAATCCGTTACAAAATAAGTTGACGATTATTTCAATAATCGGTCAATCCGATTGTTTGGAACCTAACTGTCAGGTCTGAGCACCTAAAACATCATACATGCATCCAGGGAAAGAAAGAAGGCACAGAGACAATTAATTTAGTTTTACTCGCGAGGAGAGTAGAAAGAGACTGCAGAGTTTACAAATCTCCAACCCACTCTGCCGGTCTTCAACTTTCTCCTCGCTATTTATTAAAGTCAGAGGGGGGGTCCCTAGTTACACAAGCTGAGGTTGCGCTAAAGGAATAGGAAACAAAAAATACAATTCAGTTTGCAGCCTCAGTGAACGGGTCAGTTTGCATTTAAATGTCTTGCAGTCAAATGGTCCAAGAACCTCCTGGTTTCGTTAAGCTTGAGCAAAACTTCCTGAGAGTTGACCTATACTGCTTGTGCAACACTAATTCATTCTAAACAATATTTACAGCTAAGCTTTAAAAAAACATGTTTTTCTGTCGCCCTCATGTTTCTCGGACCAGTAAACTAATGGTTCTGGTCCAGTAACACAGACATCCCATAATGGAGTCCAGACTCTGCTGTCTGCCATTAGAAGCCATTTGTTTCCTCTTTATATCCCCTTCATATTGCATCAATTCAGCTGAAGCAGGTTTGACCTAATGCTGTTGCCGTAGAGCCTCACTTACAGAGTTTTGTTAATAAATTGTTGTTTTAATAATCAGAACTTATTAAAGCATCAGAAACATATTTCGGTACTTCACCTGAAATATTGGCATCAATTAATAAGAGTTAGCCTTAAGCTAGCCTGTTTTAAAGCTAATGTTTTCGTACAGGTTGAGGTTTAATGTCTGTCTCGTATCTTCAAGGTTTCACATCATGATTATTTATCTTCTAATGGTTTTATTATTCTATAATCCAGTGAGTTTAACGGACTAAAGATGCACGGTGTTGGCAGAGTGATGCTGTGTGATTAAATCCCAGCGGTTTGCTTTGACAGTGTGGACGTCCTGGTCGTCTGAAACCAGCTGCCTCTGTGTTCTGGCTGCTAGATGAAGGGAGAGCAGCTGTGGAATGATGTTCAACACATTCTCAGTTCAACACTTTTTATTTCATCAGTAATGAGCGGATCTAAGAACAGGGATCTAAACCGTCTGCAGACGGGTTGTGTTTGTTAACCAGCTGTCGTCTGAGAAGCAGACGTAAACATTCCTCGCCTCGTTTGTTACTCGCCGTGAAGCAGATGGAGATTTTCTCTCAGCTCATTGAGTCGCTGTGTTTTTATTTCCCACATCCTGTCTTTCAGGGCTTCTTTGAACATTTTCCCAGCATCAGGAGCTCGCTGGTCGTCGACTGAGGAACCTGCTGCTGCTGCTGCTGCTCACATTTTCTCTGTTAAATCTCAGAAACTGTGTTCCAACTGACAGATTTATGAAATAAAGATCTGAATTCTTTGTCTGGGTCGGTTTTTATTGTCTCCGTTTCCTCCTGCAGGATGTCATTGAGTTAAACGTGCAGATGGAGGTTAAAGTGATGCTGCTGCAGTAATTTAATTCCTCCTGCTTGCTTTTAATAAAACCCAGCGAGCTGCTTCGTCTGCTGCTCTGCCAGGTTTCTGGCACAGAGGGACGAAGCAGCGAGCCAAGTGTTGATGCAGAGAGGAGTTATCTTCCCTTAGAGGGTCTGACTGGGGAGAAATATATAGAACAGGTCAAAAACACCTTTAATAATATCAACAGACCAGGTAATTACAGTTATGTTCAAAAAGCTTCAGATTGTCAGGGTTCAGTGGAGGTTTTAAGGACCCAAATGCAGAGGTGAGTTCTTGAAGTTTTATTTAAGTACTCGGGAAACTGAGGCAGGAATCCAAATATCCAACATAAAAATACAATACAAAACAGAACCATGAAGACATCCGGGAAAACATGCATGAGGAGCCGGGGAAAGACAAGGAACTGCACAGGGAGAGTATTTATGGAAGACTGAACAAAGACAGGACTAATGAGCTGATTGGGAGCAGCTGTGAACAGAGGAGTCTAGAAGGAGCCGGGGGAAAGGAGACCGACACCAGAGGGCAAGTAAACAAAAAGCTAAGAACTCGAATATATCCAGAAAACACCAATAAAGGTAGAGAACAAAGAAAAACATGGATCAACGTGAAATTGAAAACTCACAGAAAGCTTAACAGAACCAGGAGCGTTACACAGAAAATCTGTTTGCATCATTATTAGTTTAATCCTCTCTGGGTTCCTAAACCAGAGTTGCTGACGTTCCTCACAGGACTGTAATTTGCATTTTTTCTTAAAGGAAAAGTTCGGTCATATTCAGAATTCAAACTTCTTAAAGTACTTTAAATATGAAATTATTACATACTGAGCTGAGAACGTGTCTGTCTTTAAAAAAAAAATACTTTATGAAGCCAACAGCAGCATTGATCAACATGAATGCGTCTTTTCTAAGTAAATCGATTGTAAATCCATTATATTATTAAATAAAAAGCTTCTCTCTATATGTCGCTACATTATGTTAGCTGTTTACAGCTAAAAAGCTCCTTTCTCCTGTCCTCTGCCTTCATCTTCTCCACATGGGGACCATACCTACCATCTCTGTGCAGGAGCAGATTAGGCAAAACTAGGCAGTTTCCTAGGGCCCAAAAGTTCCTGGGACCCCATAAAGCTCAGTTTACATGTATGATTAATACAACTATTCCTTATTTGTGCACATTATGTTTTTAATAAAATGCCATCAGAATGCTTATAATAAGTGTGTCTCAGCCCCCCGCCCCCTTCAGTGTCCACCATATTGGATCAGTCCATTTGCTGCACATGTTCAGAAAGGTCCAAACAGACAGCAGCAAACCATTTGAAAACAAACCATGCAACTTAGCGCTTTAGTCACTATATTTAGCCACTTTTCAGACATCTAAAAGCAGCGAACTCTGCTCTCCAGAGCGAGTAGATTGGTAACCCCGCCTCCTGCTCTCCTCTATCTTGTCTGCTGTCATGATTCATGCAGCTATTATTTCATCCAAATGAAAAATGGAGAACAGATAAGCAGATCATGGCTTGTCTACAGTGAAAAGAAGGACTGGGTTATTTACTTTGGCCTTTTTGGAAACACAGGAAGGAGCAATCAGCTAAGTGAGCTTAGTGCTTGGAAAAAATCTTTCATTCCTTTAGAGACAGCATGAAAAGTCAGCTGAGTACAAAACATAGAGAGGAAAACAAGAAGAAAAGGGACAAGAAGAGAGGGACACAACCTAGAACAGATAATGGATGTCTATTCTATTAACATTTCTTTATCTGGAGAACGGGGCTGTTTATGTGTTCTCAATTCAGAGGGCCCCAGATTTCCTAAATCCGCCCCTGACTCTGTGCATATATGAGTTCTTCATTTAAACATGGCAGCCAGCTCCACTCAGTCTCAGTTCACCTGAAACAGTTTAGTTTAGTAGATAATGGCGTGTTTTATATAAATTTATATATTTAAATTTAAAAAAAAAATCTAAAAATTTTTTTGTTAGTTTTATTAAGTTGGTTGAAACTTAATTTAGTAAAATGTTTGGGAGATTATACAAAGTCCTAGTTTGAATAGAAATACAAACATTTTAATATTTATGGTTGTGGGGTGGGAAAGGGGGCCTGCCCATGTGGCCATTAATAAAAGAACCGCTTCTGCTGATGTTTTCTTTCATGTGTATTATGTAATTATTGATTCTTTTTAACATAATTGGACTAAAATCAGCCTTTTTAGATTTGTAATCCTCTGATCTAGCGCCCCCTGCTGTCTGTTCTCTCCCCTCCTCCTCTCCTCGGCAGCAGCTGCCTCTCCTCCTCAGACATGGAGAGCTGCTAGAGACGCTGCAGCTCCGCTCCTCCTCTCCTCTCCTCTCCTCCGCTGGATGCTGGATCTACCATGAAGTCTCCGCGGCTCTGGGCGGCCCTGTGCCTCCTCCTCCTCACCGCCTCCTGCCGCCTCTGCTCGGCCGCCAGACACGGTAAGACCCGGGGGTGTTGGGCTGTGGTGGAGAGCGATGCGCTCCGCGGGGTTTAATGAAGTGCGCTCAGCGAGGCGCGGTGCGTAAATCACGACTTGGATCCATGACCAGAGCCAGTTTGCTGCACTTTGGAATCCATTTCAGATTATTCTCTAATCTGTAGATTTCTGGTGATAGTTTGATTCTTTCTCTAAAAGTTCTCTAATTTATCTCCATCCATTATAGATTAAAACATCCCTGGAAATTAAAACAGATTCCCACACTTTAGGTATAAATCAGGTGTTTATCCGTTTCTGATCCATTAAGCTTTAAGTGAAGACAAACACTGAAGTCTGTTCTGCATTTCCTGCTCCGTTTATCTGCCTCTCATCTGTGACGCAAAGCTCTGATGCGCCTTTTTGGCTCAATGAATCATTTTGTTTGTTGTGCAACAAGAAGGAAGGCAGAGAGGCTGGAGGATCCCAGGAATCAGCAGCTGATCTAATTGGCTCTCCTGGAGGAGGAGCTCTGATTCAGATAAACACATATTAATAAATGAGGCTTTATTTAGGGAAGTTAAGAGATAGAATATTTATTTTAAAGACAAAGAGGTTCTCCTGCGATTTAAAGGCAGAACAGGATTAAACATGATCAAATATTTGGTAGATTTAACTGAAATCTGCTGTGGAGTCCTGGTCTTTGTTTCTCTGACTTCATCCTGTTTGCTTCCCAAAATCCAGCAGAAAATTCCAGATGCTTTTCCCAGCATGGGATCCAGGCTGAATGTAAGTGGAGAAACAAGCACGTCAGAAAGTTATGACTCATAACTGATCTGACCGTCTGCGCCCTGTGAGCACTACGACTCAACGCGCCCAGAGGTTCAGCACCATGGACAGATCCACGGTGCTGAACCTGCCTGTTTCCCCTTCAGCACCATGGACAGATCCACAGTGCCGAACCTGCCTGTTTCCCTTTCAGCACCATGGACAGATCCACAGTGCCGAACCTGCCTGTTTCCCTTTCAGCACCATGGACAGATCCACGGTGCTGAACCTGCCTGTTTCCCCTTCAGCACCAAAACAGCTGGAACCAAAGATCAGATCCATTAGAAATCACACTTTAATCCCACTCTGGAATATTTTCCTGATAGAAAAGGCTGGAATAGGATTTTTTTTTAAAGCTATAAAATAATAAAACAGTTATTCTAAGACTGTAGAGGTAGATCAGGATGTTGGTATTCTAAAAAATGTAGTAATATTTTAGTTTTCAAAACGGGTGACTAAAGAATATATGAGTTAATAAAGAGTAATATAAATATATGAGCACCTTCTAATAAACCATCAGATAATAAAAACCTGTCAGTGACATTTTACTGTCTTCACATTTCCTGTTGGAGCCATGGTAGAACATCCAGACCTTTACTTAGAGATAAGAATGAATGATTATTATCTACAAAGGTTCCATAGATCAAGGGGGACGGCCTCCAGAAAAGTAATAAGCTGCTGCGGTCGTCTTAAAATCTATAAACCAAGGGAACTCTGAGTTCTTACACTTTAAATCATGCTGAGTTAATAACTTTTATAATTTGTGAAGAAATGTAAATAAATTTAAGGCCTTGAGGAATAATTCTCCTTTTTAAAAACTCTAAGCTATCTCTTTAGTTTAGCCATTCAGTCTCTTTGACTTTAATTTTCAATTCAGGTAAATATTGACAAACTGTTCACCTTATATTTATTTCTAAATTAACATTTTGCTTTTTTTTATTACATTTATGGGTTTGTTGGTCTGCTCTTTCCTCTGTGTTAAAGGACCCAAACTAGATTTATAAAGATCATAGTCAGAGTGTTTTGACTTTTAAGAATATTCCACTGCACTTAAATAAAACCCTTTAAAAATCAGTTTAATTCAATTCAGTTTATTTCTATAGTGCAATTCAGAACACATAACATCTCAAGACTATTTGAAGTTCACCAGATCATCCAGTCAGATTGATTCAAAGATTTCTATCTAAGGAAAACCAGCTGATGCTTGTAGCGACAGTGGAGAGGAAAAACTCCCTTTGAACAGGAAGAAACCTCCAGCAGAACCAGGCTCATTGTGAGCGGCCATCTGCTGAGGCCCACTGGGGTTCAAGGAGACAGAAGCAGACATAGAAAAAGAAGCATAGATACAAAAGGCAACTGTCAACCAGCTCCACAGGCGGCCCCGTCCAGGAAACACACAGCCAGGCAGACGAGCTCCGAGCCAGCTCCCATGTCAGAGGATGAAGAGAGCACATCCAGTTAGTCACAGTCAGAGAAACAGGACTACACTGGAAAACAGGCCAAGCTCCAACATCTATAAACAAAGGTGTTGATGGCAGCAGCACAGCTGATATTTCTCTCCAGGATGGAGTCACAGCCAAACAGGAACAGACCAGATGAAGCTACTATGAGAAAAAGCAGAGAGAGCAGAACGTTAGAGATTGAACTAACAGATTCTGCAGAGTGGGAGAATAGAGATAGAATGAAGCAGAATGATGAAAAAGGGGTCCCTATGTCCTCCAGCAGTCTAAGCCTATAGCAGCAGAACTATAGAGATAGAATGAAGCAGAATGATGAAAAAGGGGTCCCTATGTCCTCCAGCAGTCTAAGCCTATAGCAGCAGAACTATAGAGATAGCTCAGTTAAAGGACTGGAAATCTTTGGAGCAGAAATGTCATTCATGCTTTAAAAAGCTTTGAGGAATTTTATTTTTCATCTGGATGAATTTCATTTTCATAAAGCACTGACTAAAAGTTTGGACTTACCTTATTATTCAAAGAGTTCTTTATTTTCATGTCTATAAAAATTGAAGGTTCACCCTGAAGACCAATGTATGTTTTCCCATTTTTACTGCTGAAGCTCAATGATTTACTTTTCAGATTTTCCTGCATGATTTCCTCTTGTAACGTTAAATGAGCAACAATCTTCTACCCCATGAAACTCTTAGAAACATTGAGATGGGAACTTGTTTAAATGTTTTAAATGCTAAAAGTTTATCTTCACACATTCAGTTCTTTTTATCATACGTTGATTTAACTTCTAGTTTTAAAACACGGGCTGTTCAGTAAAAGCAAAGAATCTCGTCTGTGTTTTTCTCATCCCCCTCTGCTCTTGAGAAAAAGTCAGGATTCACCATAGCAACCAGTGACTCAGCTGTTTTTTTAGTGTCTAGTTGTAATATTAACCGAGTCAGCAGGTTCGACATTAATCCATTTTAGACGCCGTCGTTAACCCTGGGATTTTAGCTGAGCTCTGAACTCTGAGCACAGAAGAAGCAGAACAGAACAGCAACATTTGATGATGAAGAAGATTCTAATTTATCTCAGTTTTAGGTTGTTTAACGTATTCTACATATAAATGTTTGCGTTTGCTGCGGTTTGAACAGGAGAGACCGGTTCACGCTGAGCAGGTTGATTAGAGGTTGGATTTAATGTAGCGTGAAATCATCTTTTTATGCTCCTTTATTGTTTTCTTCCTGAACAAACCACGGCTGAAGACATTGAGTGTTTGTTTCTGCTTCCTCGGAGCAGCGGAATGAGAGCCGAGCGGCTCTGGTTTCCAACGAGCAAAGGTTTGCTGCTTCCTGAGCTTGATTTGCTCTGTCAGAACGTAAAGGCTAGAAGGTGAAAGGTTCCTCTGAGCTGCGAGGAGACGTCCTTCCAGCTGTTTTCCAGCTCAGTCCTTCCACCTTAAACCTCACCTGCTGGCCTTAAAGGATCTGTCAGAAACCCAGAGATGATGAGGAAAATGATGAAGAGGAGAGGGGCTGGACTTAAGATGTTTTAATCCTCCAGATCATTTTGATGCTTCTGTATTTGTGCGGCAGAAGAAGAAGCAGGACGGAGCCCCGCTGTGATCAGCCTATCAGCCCATAAAAGATGGAGGGATGTGATTAGGATCATTGTCTTCTTGTGTTAGCCGTGCTGTCATCATCACTGCTGCTAAACATACAGACTTTCACACATTTTGCAGCTTTCAGAAAGAAACCTGAATGTAATTTAGTGCATAAATGTAGAGTAGAAAGAAAATAGCAGATTATTTTCAGCCTGTTTCTCTCCAGTGAAAACTGAAGATGATCCGTCACTCTGTACAGTTTTCATTTTGGGCTCCTAGTTATGTTTGTTTTGATATGTTTTATATCATTTTTGGTATAATTTATTCCTTGGTCTAGGTTTAATTAGTTATTCTTTCTCTTATCTTTAGGTTATGTTTTCCATGGCTTTAGTTATTAAATTAATTCCGTTTATTTCTATAGCTCCAATTCACATCATGTCATCTCAGGTCGCTTTCCAGTTCACCAGATCATCCAATCAGATTGATTCAAAGTTTTCTAACTAAGGAAAACCAGCTGATTGCATCGACTCATTGACTGGAAGGCAATCTCTCACACTAAGCATGCTTGTAGCGACAGTGGAGAGGAAAAACTCCATTTGAACAGGAAGAAACCTCCAGCAGAACCAGGCTCAGTGTGAGCGGCCATCTGTGGCCATTTACCTCAGTTTGTAGAATAACGAATGATGCTCTCTGGATTTTGTATAATAAAATACATACACACTTATTAGAGTATAAATAGATATAAAATGTTGCAGCTTAAAGCTGCAGTTCTGCTTTTATCAAACATTTCTGCAGGATGTTTGATCCTTTATCTTGTTTCATCCCTGCTGTAAATAAAAGCCCCCGGATGGATTCTTCCTCTGATTCTTTCTCTGGTTCGTGTTTTTGTTCAAACCGAGACACGTACGAATCTCGGCTGACCTGCAGAGCTGAACTTCATCCATCAGTCTGCTCGTTACTGACTTAATTAGCCTTAAATTAGTCATGGCAGAACGCTGACTGAGTCGAAAACAACGGAGGGAGGATGAGGAGGAGCGGACGGAGAGCAGATTAATCACCGTGAGAAGAGCTGCGGTCGGAGATGGAGTGTCTCTTTCAGAGGAGATTCCCAGACAGATGCAGCTGAGGGAGATTTCCTTGGGTTGTCATGGAGACCGGGCCAGAGGTGTTTCCGCTCTCATGTTTGCATCATCGTAGGAAGAAAAAGTCAGATGCCGTCCGCATCAATAATTCAAACCGACCAAACGTCTGGCCCTCGTCCTCCTGCAGCCTTTTCCTCCGATTCCACACTCAGCTCAGCTGCTTCCCGCTTTCAGGGCTGAAGTTTTCATTTCCTGCTGCGGTCAAAGTAATCAAACATGTCCTGATCAATAAGCATCATTTTAAAACCTCAAGAGCATAAATTATTTAGAAACGCCTCAGTGATTAAAGCAAGCATTCTGGGCTTCATACAAGTTATAAAATAATGTTTATTAGAAGCAAGGATGGGCATTTAAATACAGATTATTAAAACAAGCATAAAATCATTTAATTAAAGCTAGAATATGATATTTAATGTGTTTTAAATCGGATATTTTAACCCTTTTTATAAATTCTTGCATCATAATCGAACTAAAGACATGCTCTTAAACATGTATATAAATGTACTCTTTGTCAGACCATATTGTCTATTTTTTTTAAAAATCCCGTCTTAAAATCTGTGTTTTTTCCGTTATCTTCTGCAGGCCAGTTAGTTCTACGTCAGCCTGAACATCTACTTTCGGCCAATCATATATCAACGGTCATCTGTCAATCAAATGTTTTCGGTCATAGCATCTTGATTCATGTGTCACAGCTAATATAC